TAAAATATATGTCATAGAATATAGTCTTTTAACTTTTTATTTTAGTGGGAAAACTTAAAATTTTGTAATGGATTAGAAAAATAAATATAATTAATTGTTTACATCTATTGTAGTCTATTATGCTTTTAGCATAGTGATAAAAAATCTAAAACTTTGGGATGGTGAAGAAAAATATTGAATATTTTTTGATGTAATATACCATTAGTCATCATGAATACGATGAATATAAATTACATTGAGCTTGATTATATAATTTTAATTGTTATGCATATGTATAAATTATGGATAATTCACATGTAGCCTCTTAACTTAGTTTCTTAGAGGTGAATAAATCTAAATTTTGGTGATGGAAAAGAAGAAAAATGTAGAAACTATTTACATCTATAATACCATAATACAATGTGATTATAGTGAATACCAAAAACATTGAAAATTAAATATTTAATATTAATGATTACCCATGTATATATAGTTTATTCGTCATTCATTTACAGTCTTTTAAGTATGTGGCTTAATGACGAAGAAACATGAAATTTGTTGATGAAGAAGAAATATATTGAATATAGTTACATCTAATTTATCATAATTCATTGTGAAAATGGTAAATATCAATAAATTCAAGCTTGATTATTTATTTTAATTATTACCTATTTTATATAAAATATATGTCATAGATTATAGTCTTATAACTTTGTTTTTTAGTGGGAAAAACATAAAATTTTGTAATGGAGTAGAAAAATATATATAATTAATTTTTTACATCTACTATAGTCTATTATATGTTTAACATAGTGATAAAAAATCTAAAACTTTGGGATGGTGAAGAAAAATATTGAATATTTTTTGACGTAATATACCATTAGTCATCATGAATACGATGAATATAAATAATATTGAGTTTTATTATATGATTTTAATTTTTATGCAGATGCATAAATTATGGGTAATTCACTTGTAGCCTATTAACTTAGTTTCTTAGAGGTGAATAAATCAAAATTTTGGTGATGGAGAAGAAGAAAAATGTAGAAACTATTTACATCTATTATACCATAATACAATGTGATTATATTGAATACCAAAAACATTAAGCTGAAATATTTAATATTAGTGATTACATATGTAGATATAGTTTATTTGTCATTCATTTACAGTCTTTTAACTTTGTGGCTTACTGACGAAGAAACGTGAAATTTGGTGATGCAGAAGAAACATATTGAATATAGTTACATCTAATTTATCATAATTCAGTGTGAAAATGGTATATATCAATAAATTCTAGCTTAATTATTTATTTTAATTATTACCTATTTTATATGAAATATATGTCATAGATTATAGTCTTTTAACTTTGTTTTTTAGTAGGAAAAACCTAAAAAAAATCTAATGGAGTAGAAAAATAAATCTAATCAATTTTTTACATCTACTATAGTCTATTATGTTTTTAACTTAGTGATAAAAAACCTAAAACTTTGGGATGGTGAAGAAAAATATTGAATATTTTTAGATGTAATATACCATTCGTCAACATGAATACGATGAATAAAAATAATATGGAGCTTGATTATTTAATTTTAATTGTTATGCATATGTATTAAGTATGGGTAATTCACTTGTAGCCTCTTAACTTAGTTTCTTAGAGGTGAATAAATTTAAACTTTGATGATAGAGAAGAAGAAAAATATAGAAACTATTTACATCTATTATACCATAATACAATGTGATTATAGTGAATACAAATAACATTGAGCTTAAATATTTAATTTTAGTGATTACCCATATAGATATAGTTTATTTGTCATTCATTTACAGTCTTTAACTCTATGCCTTAATGACGAAGAAGCATAAAATTTGATGATGGAGAAGAAACATATTGAATATATTTACATCTAATTCACCATAATTCAGTGTGAAAATGGTAAATATCAATAAATTCTAACTTGAGTATTTATTCTAATTATTACCTATTTTATATAAAATATACATCATAGATTATAGTCTTTTAACTTTGTTTTTTAGTGGAAAAAACCTAAAACGTTTTAATGGAGTAGAAAATATAGAATATAATTAATTGTTTACATCTATTGTAGTCTATTATGTTTTTAGCTTAGTGATAAAAAAATCTAAAACTTTGGGATGGTGAAGAAAAATATTGAATATTTTTTGACGTAATATACCATTAGTCATCACGAATACGATGAATATAAATTACATTGAGCTTGATTATATAATTTTAATTCTTATGCATATGTATAAATTATGGGTAATTCACTTGTAGCCTCTTAACTTAGTTTCTTAGAGGTGAAGAAACCAAAACTTTGGTGATGGAGAAGAAGAAAAATATTGAAATTGTTTACATCTATTATAACATAATGCAATGTGATTATAGTGAATACAAATAACATTGAGCTTAAATATTTAATTTTAGTGACTACCAACTTTGATATAATTTATTTGTCATTCATTTACAGTCTTTTAAATCTAAGGCTTAGTGACGAAGAAACATGAAATTTGGTGATGGAGAAGAATTATATTGAATATATTTACATCTAATATACCATAATTTGTGTGAAAATGTTAAATAGCAATAAATTCTGAATTGATTATTTTATTTAATTATTACCTATTTTATATAAAATATATGTCATGTATTATAGTCTTTTAACTTTGTTTTTTAGTGGGGAAAAACCTAAAACTTTGTAATGGAGTAGAAAAATAAAATACTATTAATTTTTTACATCTACTATAGTCAATTATATTTTTAGCTTAGTGATAAAAAAAATCTAAAATTTTTGGATAGTGAAGAAAAATATTGAATATATTTAGATGCAATATACCACAAGTCAATGTGAATACGATAAATATAAACAATATTGAGCTTGATTATTTAATTTCAATTGTTATGCATATGTATAAGTTACGGGTCATTCATTTTTAGTCTTTTAACTTAGTTTCTTAGTGGTGAAGAAACCACAATTTTGGTGATGGAGAAGAAGAAAAATATAGAAATTATTTACATCTATTATACCATAATACAATGTGATTATAGTGAATACAAATAACATTAAGATTAAATATTTAATTTTACGGATTACCCATGTGGATATAATTTATTTGTCATTCATTTACAATCTTTTAACTCGGTGGCTTAGTGACAAAGAAACATGAAATTTGGTGATGGAGAAGAAACATATTGAATATATTTACATCTAATTTACCATAATTCAATGTGAAAATGGTAAATATCAATAAATTCTGCCTTGATTATTTATTTTTATTATTACCTTTTTTATATAAAATATATGCCATGGATTATAGTCTTTTTAACTATGTTTTTTTGTGTGCGAAAAACCTAAAACTTTATAATGGAGTAGAAAAATAAATATAATTAATTTTTTACATCTACTATAGTCTATTATGTTTTTAGCTTAGTGATAAAAAAATCTAAAACTTTGGGATGGTGAAAAAAAAATATTGAATATTTTTAGATGTAATATATCATAAGCCAACATGAATACGATGAATATAAACAATATTGAGTTTGATTATTTAATTTTAATTGTTATGTATGTGTATAAATTACGGGTCATTCATTTGTAGCCTCTTAACTTAGTTTCTTAGTGGTGAAGAAACCAAAATTTTGGTAATGGAGAAGAAGAAAAATATAGAAATTATTTACATTTATTATACTATAATACAATCTGATTATAGTTAATACAAATAACATTGAGATTAAATATTTATTTTTAGTGATTACCTATGTAGATATAATTTATTTATCATTCATTTACAGTCTTTTAAATCTGTGACTTAATGACGAAAAAACATGAAATTTGGTGATGGAAAAGAAACTTATTTAATATATTTACATCTAATTTATTATAATTCAAGTTGAAAATGGTAAATATCAATAAATTCTTCTTTGATTATTTATTTTAATTATTACCACTTTTTGATTTTTTACGCATATTAAGAAATTACCACTTTTTGATTTTTTTACGCATATTAAAAAAGCCAATAAGTATTGTTACTTTTCGTACAATAATTATTCTTTTACCTATAATACTTTTAATTATTTATTACATTTATTTTATTTTCTTTCTCTATATAATAATTATTTATGAGTAATGTTGACAAAAATATATTTAATACTACTTTAAACTCTTCAAGTGACAATTAAAAAAACAAATCTTATAAAATAAAGAAGAGAGTATAAAATAAAGTGAAACAACAACCAATATTAATCCAATTAGGTTTAGCTAATTACATTAATTAATCAAATTCATTGCACATTGGTCTCAGTTAAAAACCAAAAAACTGAATTGGCTAGCTTTTCCTCTCTATTTGTGAAGTATAGACACCGACCCAACATTAACACGTAAACATCAGTAATACTAATTCTTTCCTCTCTATTTGTGAAGTATAGACACCGACACAACATTGACACGTAAACATCAGTAATACTAATTCTAATAGTTTAGACATTGACACGTAAACATCAGTAATACTAATTCTAATAGTTTAGACATTGACACGTAAACATCGGTAGTAATAGTTTACATCAATAATAATTTAGACATTGACACGTGTCAGTGTTGAGTCCTTTATCTGTATAGCACTAACATTTTCTTAGAAAGTTTATAGACATTATTAACATTCTCTATGAATGAATATATTACTTTCAGTGTATCAATACTAAACTCAAGATCATAAACTTGACAAAGGAATAAAATTCAATTTCCGCAGTAATTTTATCAACTAAAATCCATACAAATCATGGTGCTAAAGGAAATCTAATCAAAATGTGAGACTCAAAAGTGCAAAGCAAAATCAGTAAACATACATTATAATTATAAGAAAACCAAAATCCCAGAAATTTATTAGGACAGAATAATATGAAGTTCAAAACATTGCAAATAATAAGTAAGCTTAAATCAGCATACAATCTTGAGTAGAAAACAATACATTTATTAGGAAATCATGAAGAGTTTGCATACAGGAATCTAAATTCTTGACTGCTTGGCAAGCTTGAACCACTCGGTATGGTAAGACCCGTCGATATCAGTCCTTTCATAAGTATGAGCACCGAAATAGTCTCGTTGAGCTTGCACCAAATTAGCAGGCAACCTTTCCCTTCTGTAAGTGTCGAAATAAGCAAGACTAGCAGACATACCTGGAATGCTGATACCAGAATTGACAGCAAGGCAAACAACTCTTCTCCATGCAGGTTGGCGATCGATTATTTCCTTTGCGAACTCTGGATCGACGAGAAGGTTTGCCAAATTGGGGTTTCTGTCGTACGCTTGTTTGATTCGGTCTAAGAATATAGCTCTAATGATGCAGCCTCCTTTCCAGATACGGGCGAGTTCACCCAATTCTAAGCCCCAACCCTTTTCAGCACTCTTTGCACGGATCAGATTCATTCCTTGTGCGTAACTGCAGATCTTGGCTGCGTAAAGAGCCTTTCTAACGTCATCAATCAACTGCTTCTTGTCTACATGTTGGTTGATCGAGATATCACTAAAGCCGCCTGATTTAAAGATCTTTGCAGCTTCGACTCTTTCGTCTTTCAAACCACTAAGGAACCTAGCATCCAATGAAGCTTCAATGGTGGGAGCAGCAACCGATAATTCAGCGGCTTGCTGAACAGTCCACTTACCGGTACCCTTCATTCCAGTTTTGTCAAGGACCTTGTCGACAAGATATCCGTCACCTTTATCATCCTTGATTCCAAATATATCCGCAGTGATTTCAATCAAGAAACTCAGAAGCTCTCCCTTGTTCCATTCTGTAAATGCACTTTGTAGTTCCTCGTTTGTCAACTTCCCAACCGACTTCAGCACATCATAAGCCTCGGCAATCAGCTGCATGTCACCATATTCAATTCCATTATGAATCATCTTCACGAAATTACCGGATCCACCTTTACCAATATACGTCACACAGGGGCCACTATCAGGAACTTGAGCTGCCACCTTGAGAAGAATATCTTCAATGTATTTGTAAGCCTCGATAGAACCACCAGGCATCATAGAAGGACCACGTCGAGCACCCTCCTCGCCACCTGAAACTCCCATCCCAAGGTAGAGCAGACCCAATTCGGCCACCTCTTTCTCCCTCCTCTCGGTGTTCTCGTACCATTCATTACCTCCATCAATGATACAATCACCTTTTTCCATGTACCTAGATAGGGTCTTGATGGTCTGGTCGACAGGTGCACCGGCCTTAACAAGCATTATTATCACTCTCGGTTTTTGAATGGAGTTAACAAAGGCTTCAGGGTCATGGAAGCCGTATAGTGGAAGATTTCCTTCTTGTTTTGCTCGTTCGACAGTTTCATCAACCTTTGATGTTGTTCGGTTATAAACGGAAATGGGGAATCCTTTGTCAGCAATATTGAGTGCAAGATTTTGGCCCATAACAGCAAGTCCGGCAAGACCGATCCTCGTAAGTGGTGGAGCCATGATTTATTTCCTGTTAAATCATTAATATGCTTATAAGAACATGAATTCTAATTCAAGGAGAAAAAAGAATATAAATTAAAACAGCAAAAGACATTTAGAATATGATTCCAAGATGCGTTTAAGCATAAAAAGTTTAAAGATTTTCCAAATTTAACGTTAGAAAGATCAATTAACAGAAACGATCTTGCGATCATCATAGTACAGAACAACAAACTATTAAACCCACACAAATATCAAACAAGCACCATATCAAGCAAGGGCTATGGCCTCAACAAAAGCTCACAAAAATGCAAAAAACAAAAACAAAAACAATTAGTGTTATCAATCGCAGATGACAACCATGGCGGAAATCTAAAAATCTGTCATTTTAAGCCGCCATACAATGCCATTGAGCCGTTATCTTACACAAATAGACCATGGCAGCTGTCAAAATCTGTCACCGCAATCCACCGCAGCACCACAATGGCCGATATTTGACGACACTTAGTACAATATCTTATGAAGCACAGACATCAAAAACACGACACTGACTCTGGCACATCGATACCGGTAATAATTTGAAAAAATAATAAATTAAACGTACAGAGACAATACCAGAATTACAATCCAAATCATCATTTAAACACTGAAAAAAGTACAGTAAGATAGCCAAGCTTTGCAAGATCTGACACTCCCTTTTCACAAAATAATTTCTTTCAAAAAAGAAAAAAAAAAGACTAATTCTGCAGATATTTGCAAACTAAATACAAAAAAAAAAAAACTTTACCATCCAAACTACAGACAGAGTATAAACCAACAAATCAGAACAGTGTATCCATCGCCAACAAAGCAACAAAATCATGGTAAAAAAAACTCATCTAACTACAAATCAAGGGTTTCAAACACTAAGGTCCCAGATCAACAATCAACAATCAACAAAAAATTCACAATAACAACAAAAATAAACATCAAATTGAAGCTCATAAAACCATAAACACTAACCTAAAATCAGATCCAAAAAGCAAAAAAGAAAGAACCTGAAATTTGAGACGATTAAGATGAAAATTGAGGAGTATGAATGAAATAAAATTGGGTATGAATATATAGAGTAATTGAAAAAGTGAGAAAGATTACCGATTGAAAAAATGATTATTAAAATCAAAGTTTGAAACTTGAAATTCAATGGTCGAAGATGGCTAACGAGACCAACCAACCACCAACCTATTTCGGAATGAAAAGGATCCAATTTTCGTATCTATTAATGTCCTGTTATAATATATGTTTTTATTTAATTTTTTTTATCTGGGAGATTTTTTATTTAATTAAAAAAACAAAAATAAAATACAATTTTATTTATATTTTGCTATAAATAATCATGTTATAGCAACCTAATATTACTTAAAAATATATATATTATTTGGTTTTTGGATTAAAATAAATACTATCTATCATAGATGTTCAAATTCAAATCAATCAAAACAAAAATGGTAAATTGGTCTAAAAAAACTAAAAACAATAAAAAAAAAAAATTAAAATTTTTTTGATGTATTTAGATGTTATTTTGTAAAAATTACTCAATTTAGATCGGATTTTGGATTGATTTTTTAAAACTAATTTAAACTAAACAAATTTTTAAATTAATTTATAATATATATAGTATTAATTTAATATTAAATAATACTTATTTTTTATAAATAATATTTATTAATTTGATTTTATTTATTTATTTTTATTTTGTAATATTAATTTTTGATATAGTATATTATATATTATATTAAACTTATTATTTGTCCGTATTTTTAGAATATTAATAAAAATTATAATTTATAATTTAATATTAAAAAAGTCGATTAAAATTAAACCGTATTAAATTGGATCGAATTAGATCAGACTTTTTTAATTAATCATTTAAAACCGAATTAAACTGTGAATAAAGATAATATTTTTTATTTTAAAATTGATCTAAACTGAACCGCAAACCCCTTTGCATACCATAAATATAAACTAATTTTATATTATTAAAACAATTGTAAAAATATATATAAATTAAAAAGTACCTAATTTAATAAATTATTCTCTCTTTAAATTCAAATAGTTCTAGTTATCTCTCATATTTTTCCATAGAAAATCAAAAGGTTTTTCATTTTTTAATTTATATTTTTATCTCTAAATTTATGTTTATATACAGTTATTTATAATGTTTCACAAATAAATTTTCTTTTAATACATAAAAATATTATTAGTTTAAAATGTAAAAGTATAAAAAGATATATTTAAATTTAAAATAAAAAAATTAAAACAGTTTAAATTTAAAATAGAGACCAATTTTCATGAATCACAACAAATAAAATTTTCATTGGATTTTAGCTAATATAAAAATTCGTTTGCTTATATAATATATGTTTTTCTATAATTAAACTAAAATGTTTGCATTTGAAAAAAATAAAATTAATTGCATATAGCAATTATTTATTTAAAAGAAAAAACCAAAATTAAATTATTAATATTATTATTTTCGTATTAAATAGTTGTTGTTGTTGGAGGCTTGTAGCATGTGGTCAAAATTTTCTAACTTTCAAACTATGCTGTGAGTGGGTTAGGTGGAACAACTCCGGTGAATCTACACCGTTGATTCTATCGCTATCACGTTGCTTGTTGAAAATTGGGTCAAAGTAAGGTCCAATTATATAATTGAAAATTGGGCCAAAGTAAGGCCCAATTATATAATTCTTTAGGCATGGTCCATTTTGGTTTATTATTATTATTATTATTATTATTATTATTATTATTATTATTATTATTATTATTATTATTATTATTATTATTATTATTATTATTATTATTATTATTATTATTATTATTATTATTATTATTATTATCACCTTTAAAATCATGATTCTAGAAGATTGACTATATAATTTATTTTATATTCTAATTGCTATATTCTAATTGTTAAATTTATTTTTAGCAAAAGTGAGCAATTTTAAAAATGGAGGGAATATAAGGAATTAAATAATTTTTTGGTGCAAAAGTAGTAATTGACTATTTAATAAAAGTCGTATAATTAAGAGAATCAAATAAAAATCAAATATACATCTCACACTTTCTTTACCATGTGAAAGTGAAGTAGGATGAAAATATAAATGTTGACTATAGTTAGGAACATTAGTTTCTTTCTTTGGTTTTGTAGTTTTTCCTTTGACTTTTGTGTGTTTATGATAGATGAAAAAAATAAGTTTCCATTCTTTTATTTATGAGTTTAATTTACATGCTTCGATACCGTTCAATAATTTATTTTTTTTATAGTAATGTTCAATAAAAAATTATTAATTTATTAAATCATTCAAATCATTTTAAAATAGAAATATAATTTGTTGAAATACATATCATTCATTCGATAACGATATAAATTATTTTAAACCATTAGTACATTTCATATTTTTTTTAATTATTATTATCTCTTCTTTTTTATTATTTCAAGTTAAGTTATTCAATGAACAAAATGAAAACTAACACCAACTAAGTAATTGAGCTCGAGTGGTAAACAAACTTCTGTTAAGAAATCATGGTTTCCCATTAAAACTAAAGTGTGAAAAGCAAAAATAACTTCCCTTGAAAACTAAAGTGTGAAAAGCAAAATACATCGGGCAAAGTTATGCGGTACACAATAGTAGAGGTGTGAAATGCTTCAATTTTAAAATACTTAATTATGATGATAAAATTTGAATAGTACAATTATTTTATAAGTAAAAAATTAGAATTGAAATATTTTTAAAAAAATCTAAAGGCAAGAGAAAATAGTAGGGATATGGAATAAAATTTTCCATAGGTCAATATTTTTTAGTAATTGTTAAGGCTGGACATATATGAAGAAATACTAGATTATCATGTCATGTATGACACTCTTTACCAATTGAACTCTACTAATAATAGATAAATGGGAGGTATTTTAATATGACACTTCATTTATGATCTTATCAATATTATGCTAGAGATATAAGGTTTATGGTTTGTCTTTGAACATGGAAAGCCTAATGTATAAGAAAGTTAGAGAACAAATGTAGAATCCAAGTAGGTTAGCTATATTAAGCAATCTTTGAGGAGAACCCAAAGCGGTCATAGAGGGGACTTACTCTCTTTTCCATTATAATATGGATCTCTTACCATAATTTTGCATGCGGATTCGTGTCTCGGTAGAAATCGCCACCTTCCCTGGGAAATATGTGGTTGTGGCGATCGGTTTCCTTACAACTAGAGTTCATGATACCTTCCCCTTATGCACATTTGGCGAACCTCTGCTCTTTGGTCTGACATGAGGGGACCCTGAAGCATCAAGTGGATATCATGTGGTACCTATAGAAGGTGCCTTAGAACTTAATATGCGCCCGAAGTTAACTAGGGATTTACAGTATCCGGGCATCATTAACTTTAAACTTGTCATATCTCTGATGTCGCACCAATAAGTACCTCGGTAGCGGTGGGAAGTATGGGCGATGTTATGTTGGAGGATGGGTCGTGGATCTCTGACACGACCTTTATGGAACATGCTTTCACATCCCAACGTAAACCTAAATCTAGATCTGAGATCCTTTAATCTTCTACTTTAAGGAGTTCTCAAGAGAATCTAAGATCAAGAACTTTGAGAAATTGAAGCAGAAACGTGCATTGATTGGATCGAATGTGACAGATCCCCGTGTTCACTTTTGAGAACTTTTCGATTCTAAGATCGAAGGGAGCTGCAAAAGATAGAATTGGAAAGCGACTATTCCAGAAAGCATGGAAATCGGAATTTGGTTTGATCTTGATTCAGTGACCTAAGGAGGTTGTGAACTGGTAAATCGGAGGTTAGATATGAAGTCATAGAAATAATATGAATCATAAGTCGTTTCTCATAGACGGTGCCAACGTTCCATTCAGGAATCACAAATGGATGCACTTAAAAACTAATTATCTTGTATGGTGGTTTTGATCTCCTTTACAATGACGTGGGATAGACATGCATGGTTAATATTTCAACATCC